GGGAAAGGGGCGAACAACACCTAAGCAAACAGGGCGGCCCCGTGGCATCCAGGTGGGAAACCAACCTAGCACTTTGCAGCAACCTACCTTGAGGTTACCTTGAGGTGCTTCCGGGGCTTAGCGTCCCCGCGGCCCGGTCGTCGACCAGGCCTCCTGGTTGCTGAACTGATCAACCAGGCTGTTGGACGCGGCTGCTCACAGCCTGACGTATGAGTCACAGCCTGGTTGATCAGGTATCCTTTGGAGGTGCTTATCCAGTTCTCTCTTGAACACTGTGAGGGAATCGCCAGTTATGCCCCTTATGTGTAGCGGAAGCGTGTTGAACAGTCTTGGGCCTCTGATGTTGATAGAGTTCTCTCTCAGAGTACCTGTTGCACATCCGCTTTTCAATGGGGGTATTCTGCACATCCTGCCATGTCTTCTGGTCTCATGTGATGTTATTTCTGTGTGCAGGTTTGGGACCAGCCCCTCTAATATTTTCAACGTGTAAATTATTATGTATCTCTCCCGCCTGCGCTCAAGGGAGTACAGATTTAGGCTCTTTTAGTCGGTCCCAATAGTTTAGGTGTTTTACTGAGTGGATTCTAGCAGTAAAGGATCTCTGCATGCTCTCCAGGTCAGCAATTTCTCCAGCTTTGAAAGGGGCTGTCATTGTGCAGCAGTACTCCACTCTAGAGAGCACAAGCGTTTTGAAAAGTGTCATCATCGGTATAGCATCTCTAGTGTGAAAAGTTCTTGTTATTCAACCTGTCATTTTTCTTGCAGTTGTGATGGCTACTTTATTGTGTTCTTTAAAGGTAAGGTCTTCCGACATGAGTACACCCAGATCCTTTACATTTCCTTTGCGTTCTATGTTATGATTTGCCTGAGTTTTGTACGTGGTTTCCGTTTTTATATTTTCATTTTTTCCATAGCGCATGAGCTGGATTTATCTTCGTTAAACACCATATTATTTTCTGTAGCCCATAGAAAGACCTGATCTACATCTGACTGGAGGTTTGCCGTGTCCTCTATGTTGCCTACTCTCATGAAGATCCTAGTGTCATCTGCAAAGGATGATACAATGGTATAGGTTGTGTTCTTGTCTATGTCCTATATGAGGATGAGAAAAAGTACTGGAGCAAGCACAGTACCCTGGGGGACTGAGCTCTCCACGGTTGATGGGCTGGATTTTATTTTGTTGACTATTACACATTGGGTTCTGTTGGTCAGGAAATTGTAGATCCATCTGCCTATTTTTCCGGTAATTCCTTTTGAACGCATTTTATGTGCAATAACGCCATGGTCACATTTATCAAAAGCTTTTGCGAAATCTGTGTAAATTACATCAGCGTTTTGTTTGTCTTCCATAGCATCTAATGCCATATCATAGCGGTCCAGCAACTGCGACAGGCAAGAGCGCCCTGTTCTGAAACCATGTTGTCCGGGGTTATGGAGATACTGTGATTCCATGTATTTTGTGATCTTACTTCTTAGCACTCTCTCAAAATTTTTTATAATGTGTGATGTTAGTGCTGTCAGTCTGTAATTTTTTGCCTCTGCCTTATTTCCTCCTTTATGAAGTGGTGCTATCTCTGCTGTTTTTAGTATATCAGGAATAACGCCAATATCTAGGCTTTGTCTCCACAGAATGTGGAGGGCCTGCGATAATGGTTTTTTACAGTTCTTGATGAATATGGAATTCCAAGAATCCGGGCCTGGTGCAGAGTGCATAGGCATACTGTTTATGGCTTCTTCAAAATCCAGTGGGGATAGGGTGACATCTGATATATGATTTAATGTTGGTATCATATCCATGAAAAATTCATTTGGGTTATCAATCTTTAGTTCGTTTAATGGCTCACTGAAAACAGAGTCGTACTGCTTCCTCAGTAGCTCGCTCATTTCTTTGTTGTCATCGGTGAAAGTTCCATCTCCCTTTCGCAGGGGCCCGATACTAGATGTGGTTTTTGATCTTGATTTTGCATAAGAGAAAAAATATTTCGGATTTCTCTCTATTTCACTGATGGCCTTTTGCTCTCTTTGCCTCTCCTGGGTTTTGTATGATTCTTGTAGCTTTCGTTCAATTGTTTCTATTTCTTTACCTAACCTTCTTCGCCGTTCTTGAGATAGGGTGCGACTCTCAAGTTGTTCCGCGATTCGTTTTCTTCGCCTATATAGGGAACGAACGACGTTCCCGTTCCAATCTGCATCTCTTCCTCTTTTTCTTAGGGGTATGCGGTTTGAACATATTTCTAGTGCTACTGAGCTTATTTTTTCCAGGCACTGGTTCAGGTTTGCATTTTCTAGCTGTTCTTCCCAGTTTATTTCTGTGAAGTCCTGGTTTATTTGCTCCAGTTTATCTGTTTATTATTGAAGTTGAATTTGCTGAAATCTCCTCCACCGGGAATCTGGACTGGTTTTGAAGGTCTACTCCCCATGGTTGACATAACTTCAATTAAGTTGTGATCTGAGTAACAGGTATTTGTAATCATTATGTTCCCGATCAACTCATCATTATTAGTGAAAATGAGGTCTAACGTGTTCTCCTTCCTAGTTGGTTCTACTATTTGCTGGTTTAAGGCAAACCTATCGCACATCCGTAGCAGGTCATTTGCATGTGCCTGTTCATTTAGGCTACTTCCTGGTATTCTTTCTGATATTACTGTATTAGCCAGGTGCTTCCATTTCAGGTGCCGTAGGTTGAAGTCCCCAAGCAGGATGATGTTCGGAGCTGGATTTGTGAGGTTTTCCAAGCAGTGTTCTATTTTCATTAGTTGGTCTTTAAACTGCTGAGGGTTTGCCTCCGGTGACTTATATACAAGGACAATAACTACATTTAGAATCTCTATTTTGATTATCAGCACTTCCACCATATCATTTGAGGTGTTTAGCAGCTCAGTACAGATAAGTGTGTCTTTGATGTAGAGGCTGACCCCACCCTGAAGCCGGTGTTTCCTATCACATCTGAAAAGATTGTACTCTGAGATCCATATTTCACCATCATGGTAGTCCTTTGTGTGGGTTTCTGTTAGGGCTGCAAACACTGCATTTGCCTCATGAAGGAGACCATCAATAAAGTGAATTTTGTTGGTTTTGCGTGTTTTTATACCCTGGATGTTGGCAAATATAAATGATGTTATCGTGTTAGTGGAAGTGCTGGATGCCTTACTTGCTGTTAATATCTGAGGCTCTGGTAAGGAGGCCACTGTGTTTGTGTCCAGGGTGTGTTGCTTACCTAAACCAAGCTTGCAACGCAGATGCTGCCTGTACTCTGATCAGTAAGGACATCAGAAGAGTACTGGAGAACAAGCAGAGAACACGTCTCGCAAGACTCTGGGTCAAGGTGTCAGTAACCCAACAGGCAGCATGACGGGGGTAAAAGAGGCGACTGTCACCCTGAGACAAGGGAACAGCAACCAATGAACCTGCACATGATGGGTTGGAACCCGGAAGACACATCCAGTGATCCACCGAGCCCGACAGGGTTTTCTAGGGCCTGTAGGCTGACTGCTACGGGAAGCCGGGCAAGGTGTTGCTAACCGGTTAACACCCAAAGCTGACAAGGGGCAGATGCCAGCATTGAAAACCCCTGCGAAGAGTACAATCACGGGGGGCCTAGCAGAAGGCCACCAAACACTACCAGTGGAACTATAGCCACACTAGGCAGACCCCCCACCAGCCAAATGAAAATAAAAACAAAAGAAAAACTCTGCAAAAGTACACTGTCCCCAGAGGCAACAGGAACCGGTCGCCACGTAGGTAGCAGGTTGCGCAACACCTTGATGCCCTAACCCCCACAATACTAGTCCCTACCCAAGGCCAAACAAGGGCCCCAAGCCCCAGCTGGCCCCAAGGGCGAGGCAAATGCTGAGCAGCAAGAACCTCTGTGGGAATGGGTCCCAAACGCCCCAGGAAAGATAACCCTGTCACGCAGGGGCAGTACTCACAGGGTGCTTAGGAAAGGAAGTCCCTAAGCTCATGCAGCCCCGGTACTGATGAGGAACACCTGGCTACCGCACAACACAAAACACAGCAGTGAGCGCCACGAAGGCAAATACCGACTAGGAAACTGAGGCCAGAGAAGCGTCTGTCCCGGTTGACATTAGTTTATGAACTGGTGCTAGGCAGCCGGCGCATTGAGGTCCAGGGCCCCCCCTCCCCTTCTCGGGGAGGGGAGGGCTGCGCGGACGAGTGGCGCAACAATAGTATGTTATGTTTGCTTGTTTGCTTGTTTCCTTGGGATTGTAGGGAGTTTTGACTCTTAGTTCGGTTTTTGTTGTTAGTTTCTTACCATGTGGGGTTTGTTTTGTTATGCCTACCTTTCTGGGTGCCTAACCCTGGTCGATGGCAGATAAGGAAAACTCCCAACCATGGGGAGGATCTCTAGGGCCATTGTTCCCTGAAACCTCTCTGAAGGAGTCAGGTTCTGGCTCATGGTCCCTGGTAGGTCTGAACTCCATAGGTAATGTATCGGTCTAATATAACATACATTACCCTGATAAGCTCCAGGGAGCAGTAGGGGCTCCCCTCAGGAAATAATTTGGATTTTGCTTTATTTCTTTTGTCTGGGCATGTTGGAGGCTGTAATTGCAAGAGCAACCCAGGGGTTAAGAATATTTTGCCCACCAAGGTATTATTCCTGATGAAATGTGGGCAAATGAAGTTGTGTGTGTGTTTCGGGCTCATGGTAAAAAATGCTTTATGTATTAGTGGCTGTATATAATACATAATTTATATACCTACTAATAAATCACTAATATGTTCTAATGTATATTGTATTATATTATTATAATGGTATGTATTATATTATTATAATGGTATGTGTTATATTATTATATAATATAATATACAATTATATTATTATATATTATATAATATAATTATTATATAATTCTTATACAAATTATGGTATTATTATATAATACAATATAGTATTATCTTAAATATATTATTATACTATATTATTATAAAATATTATACTATTATATAATATTATATAATAAAAATAATACAGTATATGGTATTATATTATTATTATTATTATGGTATTATTATATCCAGTAGGATATACAGTAACAGTCATATGGTAGAAGCAGATAACCAGTATTTTGGAAGAGAAAAGGTGATGGGAGGAATAAATACAGATAAAGAGTGAGAGGTTTGTGTGATGACAGAGCCTTCTGAAGAAACTTCCACAGCGGCCATTTTCAGACTAAAAGCTCCTGGGACCGAGTCCGGCATCGCAGTATTAGAGTGAAAGGCCCATCACACTTTATGTGAAAATAGTGTAGCATTCAAATACAGTACACTGGAGTACTTATAACTACGAGATACTTTCCGAGACCTCGATGGCTGCACTAACTTGCCTCGTTTCCACTTGTGATGTAGTTTCTATGTTGTCTACACTCTCTCTTCTTTCCACCTTTGACAGTTCATCAAGTCCTTCCTGGAAAATCATTACTTACGTTTATAAAATACATAAATAAAAATGCAAAATTTTATTACATACAAGTAATTTTGTTATTCAATCCATAAAATCAAAATACAAAATGTTATTAAATCCATAACATAAAAATACAAAATCTTAATAAATTCATAGAATATTGTACTGTATAAATATAAACCAGCGTTGAATGTAATGAAATGCCATTTTCTGGGTGAGCCCCGGAGGCTCCCTGGAGCTTATCGGGGTAATGTATGTTATATTAGACAGGGACATTAGATATGGAGTTCAGACCTACCAGGGACCAGTTCCAGAACCTGGCCCCTTCAAAGAGGTTTCAGGGAGCAATGGCCCTGAAAAACTCCCCCCTGTGGTTGGGTTGTTTTCCTTATCTGCCATCGACCGGGGTTAGGCACCCAGAAAGGTAGGCATAACAAAACTAACCCCACATGGTAAGAAACTAAAAACAAAAACCAAACAGAGGTAGAACTCTCTTCAATCCCAGGAAACAAAGAAACAAGCAAACAACCAAACGTAACACACTACTGCCGCACAGCTCGTCCAGGCAGCCCTCCCCTCCCCGAGAGGGGGAGAGCCCTGGACCTCACCGCACCGGCTGCATAGCACTCCAGTTTGGAAGCTAAGCTTCAACCAACGCGATAAAAATGCCGACCGGTAGGAGGGAGGGTTGCTAGGGAGCCTCGCTGGCCCATCCAGAAAATGGCGTTTCATTACATTCAACGCTGGTTTTCTGAGGGGAGCTCCTACGGCCCCCTGGAGCTACATATCCATAGAGAAGGAAAAGAGGGACTGACCCCAGGAGGCAGCTGCCACAAACTCCTCAACGCAAAGTCGAGACAACTGGCTGCAACTTGCAACCCAAAGTAACACAAGAACGCCCAGAAGCAGACACGCTCACCAATTAATGGGCAGCCAGGACCCTGTTCGACCTCCAAAATCCCTGCGCCCGAATATCAGCCCAAGACACGTTACCAAACACGGCAGCCAAAGCTGCAAACTTCCGAACGTCATGGGCACAATGATAGACCACAGGCTGGCTAGACTTAATAACCCTGCGGACGACCTGGGAGACCCGAGCCCTGGAACAGGGAACGAGGGAAACCGGATGAACCCAAAGCGCATCCCCAGCTACCACAGCCGAGGCGCTCACGTAACGGCAAAGAGCTGCAACCGGACGCAACACATGATGCCCCCCGGCCGAACCAATCAAGCATCAATATCCCAAGGACCCCTCCGGAAAGCTGTCATCTCATTCTTCGCTAGAAAAGATGAAGGCGGCTGCAAACGTACAAACCTACCACCAGGACCAAAAGAGCAGAAACCCCTGCGCCGGAGGAGAGCAAGAAGCTCCCAAATCCGACCCTCAGAGGCCAATGCCAACAAAAACAGAGCCTTGGAAAAACAATCTCGAATCGATGGCGCCACCACAAACCGAGGAGAGGAAAGATAAGAGAGCACCCTGTCCAAGAACAATGATGATTCAGGCGGTGCATGAGCAGGCCTGATGTGATGTCCACCCCGAACGCAAGCTGAAGTGGCTATGCCAACGCTGCACGATACGAGGCGACAGTAAGAAGCATCAAATGACGGTCCTGAAAAAACCCAAGAAAGGACAAGACAACCCGATTCGAAAAAGAAGACCACCTACGATGAGCAAGAAAATGGCGAAAGAACGTCGGGAAACTTCATACGGTCACCGAGACGAAGCTCGCAGGTGGGAAACTATCTATGAAGCCACCTGATCACCATAGCGATGTGCGGTGATACACGCACATAAAAAAGACCAGACTCGAAGAACAGAGAAGGCCGAACCAGCCACGTACCGGACTGGTCCGACCTGCCGAAAGAGGCGAAGCCGTGTGAAAACGCCCCGGTTTTGGACATTGGGCAAGGAGCACCTGAAACCAAGGCTGGGCCGGCCACCAAGGGGGCCATGAGGACTACTCTCCCTGGGAAAGACTCCAACCGAACCAAAACCTGAAGCAACAGCTGGACCGGGGGGAAAGAGGTACAGGTAACTCTACCTCGACCAGTCCTGCTAAAAAGACATCCACCGCGAATGCCTCAAAGGCAAGGGAAGGGCCCACCCCACGCCGAGACCACACCAACGCGAAGATGTCCATGTCCGAGAGCCCATACAAAATGCAGAGCCAATGTAACGAGTTGGCGTCGAATGTCCATTCCGTGAACAGGGGTAATGAACCAAGACAGGCCATCTGCCAGGATATAGGACACTCCCTGGACATGAACCACACGGAGAGCCAAACCCCGAGAATCCAGCAGACGAAAAACTAGAAGGGACCAACTCCAAAGAGGCACGGACCGAAGAGAACCCCTGTGGTTCAGGCAACGAACCACCGGAGAACAGTCCAAATAGAGCCAGATGGTAGAGCCCCGAGTGACCTGAACCCTCCGAAGCACAAACCAGACCGCCACGAACTCCCAAACCTTGCTGTGAGCCCAACAGAAGAATGGACCCCACCGTCCCCTCTCAGAGAGAGAGACGACCTGTCTGTGAACACATTGAGCGAAGGCTCATGTAGGCGCCAAGGCACTAAACCCTGAAAACTCCGAAGAGGAAGCCGGTGATGCAACAGCCGACACAAGGCTCCCAGAGGACGAACCCAACGATCGCGAGAGAGGTGGAAGGGGCGTCCCCAAAGGAACCAAAATAGATGTCGAAGCCAAACCCGACCCAGCGGGTAGACCAGCACGGCGAAGTTTAGACTCCCACACAACTGCTTGAGCAACCGCCGAGTGACCTGGGACCCCCCTCAGAAACAGCCAAAGGCGGGACTACAGCTGTAGCAACACTTCATGAGGGAGAGACAAAGAAGCGATCCGAGAGTCCCAAACAAGATCCAGCCAGGTCCGAACCCAGAACAGAACCAGATGGAATGTCCTCCAGTTCACCAGGAACCTGAACCCAGCTAGCTGAGAAAGAACTACACCCCTGGTGAGCAGACAAGCGGACCGACTGGGAGCCCACACCAGCCAGTCGTCAAGGTATGCCAGAAACCGAAACCCGAGCAGACGCAAACAGGTCACCAAGACCCGGTAACGATGCATAAAGACGCGAGGTGCCAAATACAAACTAAGGAGGGCAACAAAAGCGGCAAGCCTGAAGTCCCACCACCAACTGTGCCAGTCCTGGAACCCTGGAGAGGAACGTGCCAAGAAGTGACCAGGAGGTCCAGGGATACCATCCAGGCACCCGGCCCCAACAGAAGCCAGACCGGAGACAACAGTCATCTGAAGAGGGGCAAAGAATCCAGGGAACAGACGGAACAAGTCCAGAAGAACCGCAGAACTTCAAAGTCCTGTGTCGGAATTGGAACAGGCGGGAACCCCGGAAGGATGAGGCGGATCGACCACATCTAAGTGCACCCCCACACCAAGATGATATGATGAAACGCAGGGGAAGAAGCTCACCCCGCCAGCCCCGAACCCCCCAAAGGGGGAGGAGTCACTGAATGCCACCAGAGGCCAGGAGACAACCAAAAAACCAGCGTTGAATGTAATGAAAAGCCATTTTCTGGGTGAGCCCCGGAGGCTCCCTGGAGCTTATCGGGCTAATGTATGTTATATTAGACCGGGACATTAGCTAAGGAGTTCAGACCTACCAGGGACCAGCACCAGAACCTGGCCCCTTCAGAGAGGTTTCAGGGAGCAATGGCCCTGGAAAACCCCTTTGTGGTTGGGGTTTTCCTTATCTGCCATCGACCGGGGTTAGGCACCCAGAAAGGTAGGCATAACAAAACAAACCCCACATGGTAAAAAACTAAAACAAAAAACCGAACAGAGAGGTAGAAACTCCCTACAATCCCAAGGAAACAAGCAAACAAGCAAACATCACACTTTACTGCTGCGCCGATCGTCCGCGCAGCCCTCCCCGCCCCAAGAGGGGGAGGGGGAGCCCCGGACTTACCGCGCCGGCTGCCAAGCTTCAGTTCGGAAGCTAAGCTTCAACCAACGAGAAAAAACTGCCGACCGTTGGGAGGGAGGGTTACCAGGGAGCCTTCGGGGCTCACCCAGAAAATGGAGTTTCATTACATTCAACGCTGGTTTTCTGTGGGGAGCCCCTACGGCTCCCTGGAGCTTCATACCCAAAGAGAAGGAAAAAAAAGGGCCAACCCGGGAGGCGGCCGCCACAAACTCTGCAACGCAAAGTCGAGACAACAGGTCGCAACCTGCGACCCAAGGCAACAAGAACGCACAGGAGCAGACACGCATAAAGAATGGGCGGCCAAGAACCTGTGCAACCCTCAAATCCCTGCGCCCGAATTGAGCCCTAGACGTCGCCAACACAGCAGCAAAAGCTGCAAAAGTCTGAACAGCACGGGCGCAAAGACAGACCGCAGGCTGGAAGAATGAAAAACTTTGCGGACGACCTGGGAGACAGACCCGAGCCCTGAAAATAGGGAACGAGAACCGGATCAACCACAGCGCATCCCCAGACACGGTTCGTAGGCAACGGCAAAAAGCACAACCGGACAACACAGGACGCACCCCCGGCCAAACCAATCAAGCTTTAATAACCCAAGAACCCCTCCGGAAAGCAGCCGTCTCGACCGTCGCCAGGACGGAGAAAGGCTGCACACGTACAAATCCACCACCAGTACCAAAGAGCAGAAACCTGAACCGAAGGGGCTACCACAAACTGAGGAGAAGATAAGAAGGCACCCTGATCAAGTACCAGGACGGTCCAGGCGACACATGAGCAGGCCGGAGGTGAAACAAAACACGAGAAAGCATACGAAACGTCATACTGTCGTCAAGACGAAGCTCGCAGGTGGGACACCGTCAACAAAGCCACCTGAACACCACAGAGATGGTGATACCCGCGTCAAAATACCAGATGCGAAGAGCCAAGGAGAAGGCTGAACCAGTCACATACAGGACCGATTCAACCTGCCGAAAGAGGCGGAGCCGCGGGAAAACTCCCCAGGTTCGAACACCTATCAAGCAGCGTCTGAAAATAA